GATTTTTCAATTTTTAATTTACATTACCATCACTACACCTATTATTCTAGAGTGAATATAAAATTTCTCTCCGAAACTATTTTTATGTTCCATGACATAAAAGATCGATTGGACTTGGTAATCATCATGGCTTTGTGAACTGTTTAAAATAGGTAACCATCATGACTTTGTGAACCGTTTAAAAATGGTAAACATCATGACTTTGTGAACCGTTTAAAATAGGTAACATCATGAGTTTGTGAACCGTTTAATTAAAATAAGTAACCATCATGACTTTCTGAACCGTTCAAAAATGGTAAACATCATGACTTTGTGAACCGTTTAAAATAGGTAACCATCACGAGTTTGTGAACCGTTTAATTAAAATAGATAACTATCTTGACTTTGTGAACCGTTTAAAAATGGTATACATCATGACTTTGTGAACCTTTTAAAATAGGTAACCATCATGACTTTGTGAACCGTTTAAAATAGGTAACCATCATGACTTTGTGCACTGTTTAAAATAGGTAACCATCATGACTTTGTGAACCGTTTAAAATGGATAAACATCTTAATTTTGTGAACCGTTTAAAATAGGTAACCATCATGAATTTGTGAATCGTTTAAAACAGGTAACCATCATAACTTTGTGAACTGTTTAAAATAAGTAAACATCATGACTTTGTGAACAGAGTTTCTTGGTTTATAGACCTGTCCTTAAGTCAGTGTACGATTGTTCTATTAAAGCATGTGGGTTTTGTACGGTTGTTGCAGCTTGAGCTCTACTACAATAGAGTTTCTTTGTTTATAGACCTGTACTTAAGTCAGTGTACGGTTGTTCTATTAAAGCATGTGGGTTTTGTACGGTTGTTGCAGCAGCTTGAGCTCTACTACAACAGAGTTTCTTGGTTTATAGACACGTACTTATGTAACAATGTATAACATTATTAAGCCTTTCTTCTCACAAAACAGACGAATCCTCATAATGTTGCAGGCTCGAGGATTTGGTGAGAAACAAAACTGATAATCACTACGATTTAAGGTAAAAATAATGAATTATACTGACACAACGAACATCAAAAGGAAAGATAATTGAAAATGCGTAAACTCGCGGAGCTGCTCTGATACGACTATACCCTTTCAGATATCTACAGGTAATTTTGAACGTATATCAAAACCCTAAACTAAACACTATATCATGTGACATACGTATATTAACCACCTAACACATCTTCTGCACGTGCACGTCGGAACCAACCAATGTAGTGATACTGACAGTCGAAACTGGAAAAGATTAACGAAATGTTAAATTCCTACAATGAATTTTTAAAATAAAACCAGTAGTTACAGAAATAACAACTAAATTTGGAATTTTTTATAGGGACATTCTAAAGAAAGCTGAAATTTATGTTTCGGCTACCACAACAGTTCCAAAATCATTATTTAGTTTGTTAGAAAATAAAGTAAAATTAAGAAACTGGGGACTGTTTATCAATTAATAAATGTAATTTCATATAAGCCTGCTGTATATACATACAGCATGGCGCGCATTCACACTTAAAGTAGTTGTGTGACACTAATTAAACCATTTATTTACGTTAATTTGAGCTTAGCGACATCTGTTGACAAACAGTAAATTTAATCGAATAAGCTATTCTTGTTTCCCAATTTTCTCCACCGTATAGATGAAGATTAGGAATTATTTTATATATAGTTTAATCAAAACTTGAAATCTTGCAAGAAAAAAATTGTTCTCAATTCAGAATATATTATAGCGTTCTCTTTTCGATACGCTGATCTATATTTTAGGAAGTCTCTGTTTTTTCTACAATTAGTTTCACTTCATGCACTACATAAGTTTGTTTGTCTTGTTGGATTTCGCACAAAGCTACACGAGAGCTGTCTGCGATAGTCGTACCTAATTTTGAAGTGATACACAAGAGGAAAGATAGGTAGTTAGTCAACATCACCAACTGCGAACTTTTGGGCTACTCTTGTCAGACCAAAAGTTGGAGTTGGACGCCACACTTATAATGCACTCATTGCCCCATAGTGGCGGAGGGCGATTTTTTCATTACTTTTGACGGCATCAAAACGTGAACCACGGAAATCAGTTCGACAATATGGCAAACTAATCACTGGAACGGATAAGTAAGGAGTTGCTCCATCCATACAGTATCCTTGAATTTTTAAAGATTTTTTCTACCAACAGCACTGCTTGTGTACAACTTTCCTGGACCATTAATATAAATCCATTAGCTGTTTTTACTCTACATCCATGATATCTTGTTCTATTCCACTAACTGTAGTGTTGGATGTGGAACTAAACCTGTACAAAGGTACAGTCATTGAAAAAAACTCTCTTCGTTAGAAATTGACGCCATTTTTGAGATAAAAAAATTACGTTGGGCGTTATAAATTTGTTTGTAGTTATATATGTGCTATATGTGCTCTGTCCACCACCGGTATCGAAACCCAGTTTCTAGCGTTATAAGTCCGCAAACACACCACTATGTCACTGGGGGGGGGAGGTGCGTTACAGAAGAAAAACATATGTTGATATAGAATTGATTTTTTGCTTCTTCCATTTGTCTGTTTTCACACTGTCTTTGCATTGTTAGTCTACATTTTCATATGACTGTCTGTCCGTGTTACAAATGTAAACTCCTAAAATGGTTTTATTAACGGAGTTACTCTGGAATACATTAGCATACATTAAACGAATGTAAATGTGTGTGCTGAGTGAATGTGGACATAGACTACAAGATTGTTAACAACTATGACACTAATATTTGTTTATTATTTTCGCACAGAGCCATACAAGGGATTTCTGCACATAGCCATCAATAATTTTGAACTGATAGATTAGACGATAGTGGGAACTGACCATTAATCTTATAAGGCATCCACGGCTCCAAGGCGGAGGTCGTGGTTTTGCTGCACAGGGACTTGAATCATAAGCCCGCTGAAATACAGCTCGAGCACTCTAGCCTGCACACTACAAGCGTTTAAAAGTTTTTTTTTTTTTTTAATTTCTAAGATATGAAATCGGTTCTAAACCAATGATATAGTTGTTTGGACACTTCAATAAAGAAGACCATCGTCTACAACACAAGTGAAAATCGACTATCTGTAATCACAGGGTACTTGCTTCGAGACTGAAACAGATGTTCGCAGCCACAACTGAATGTTATGACAAAATGCATATGGGTAGAAACAAACTTCACAAAGCCATCAGATATGGCAGAAACCCAACGAGATACATTCTATTCACATAACAGCTGTTTGTCCTTCAGTTTTTACGTAGAAAGGGGTCATACTCCATGGCCCCTTGCTGTAGTAACGAATGAGCAAATTATTTTGGAGCAAATTAAATTTTGGAGTCAGTTTTTTATACCACTAATTATACTTTTCCAGTTTATTGATGTACCTTTATCAGAAGCATCTCAGCCACGTTCATCTTAAACATTTCTATTACGTTGACGTTTTGTTCTGAGTTGAAAGCTGAAACTAGGTTTTCAAAATAAATTTCTATGAAAACACAGATTCTTTCCGTGTGAAATGCACTTTTATATGTGGCAAATTTGAAACGTTGTCTGTTCGTTATTCTTCTTTTTTTTTTCACTAACCCCAACCCCATTATCACTGCTGGTAAATACTAGAAGCTTTGGAATCTGAATCAATTGCCTGTGAAAGCATTTTATAAAGAACAGTTGGATTTAAAAAGCTGTCCCATTATAACTTTACATTCTTATGCGTGTAATAAAAAGAAACGTAAGTAATGGATTGCGGAAGACAGAAATGGTATAAAATTTAACAGGATGTTTTTTTAGCATGTTTTTTTCTTTATTTTTTAATAAACACTCAATTTACGCAATGTGCATTTTTATTCACTTGATATATGTTTGCATTATTCAGCATATGCAAAGTAAAAAGTTGACCCAGCTCCTGGTTTTAGTACTTTTTTGTGCAAACACAGCCGAGTTTTGTAGTTATCGTTCGTTAAGTTAAATCTCATCTGTGTTAGGCACATTTACTCTAGTTTTCTAGCAAAGCTTATTTAAAAAAAGAAGAAGGGATCAAGCGAATATCATTAGCTGCCTCTGTGTCACTTTTATGCACATATTTTTACATTTTGTATTTATATCAAGCTCTATGATATCCTCAATTATATTCACCTATCAAAACTTAAATTACTCCATTTCATACCTGGAATTAAACATCTGAATCTCTCGGGATCGAGCCCGGTATTTTCGCAAGAGTTTTTGAAGCTGAACTAAAGGGCTACCCCCCTAGATACTACGGTACTTATGAAACTTTATTTTTAACTTTTTAAATTTCTTAGCTCTAAGATCCTTTTATTCTCATAAACAAGGATAGTTCTCAAGCCTAAGCTTTTGCATGGCTTAGGCTCAAACTCGGCAAATATCTCGCACGTCAGAACCACTAAGTAACTGAATTAAAGGGTTAGCTCCTTAGCAACTGCTAGTAATGCACGCCTTTTAGTCATTCAAAGTGCCTGGATATAACACGCTTATCTAATTTTACATTTTCGTTTTAATTCAATGCGTGAAATTTCGGAGATCGTCCAATACGCATTTTACTTGAGCCTTTTATAGAAATCATAACTGTCATTGTCCCTCGTTTATCATTCCCTAAGCAAATCATCAATAGACTGCTTCGGTAAAAATGAATGAAGTTCACCCAACTTTGGTAAAAGGGCTAAACATTGTCACAAATATAAATGTTCATGTGCCCAACACATTGATATAAAAAAATTAAATTTGCCCATTTTGAGTTTTTAAGGAGGTCAGAGCTCACAAAAAAGAACATAATTTTTTGGAAGGGGATTTGGTCAACTATTCGGCCGTATTTCGACAGGTTTACATGGGATTTGGTACAAAGATACTTTTATAGAGACCCCAAACAGAGGCATAGACAATTTTGGTTTTCGTAGACTATTCATGTGTATGTCAACCAACTTACATGAGATTTGGTACAAATCCCCCTTCTTGCAGGTCCCAAGCAGTGGTATAGACAGGCTTCGATTTTTCTGTGTTTTTCACGATTTTTCTGGCGTCAAAATTGGCCATGTTAGGATTGCGTAGCGGAGACATTTTACGTTCGCCCGCGAATGTTAGCCTCTTTAATTTTTCTTCTTGAATTGGATTATATATTTACTATATATTGTACTTGTTACTGCCTCAGTTACCCTATTATTACATTGACATTGCTTTTATCCTCAATGTGCAAAGAGCCAAAATTGAAGAATGACGTGCTAAATTTTCTTAATGTCTGTTTATAACTTTAAAGTTTTGAAGACTACAGTAAAAATGGTAAATAAGTCAGAAGTTGTTCTTTCGGCGCAAATGTGTATCAACTGTATCAGTTGCTATACTTTAAAAAAGTTATACTATTTGTAGAGGATAGAGTTTTCAAATTCTGGAGTATTTATTTCATAATTATATATTTATGGCTTTATACAGTTCACTATCTCTCGATTCTGAGCTATGAGCACCTCTGTTGAACTTTTTGAGCTATGAGCATCTCTATTAAACTTTATTTATTTATCGTGTTTAAACTATGGATACGTCTGTTGAATTTAACCTATTTGTCGTATTTAAGCTGTAAACACATCTATTCAACCGCACACCTA